TGTTTTGTGAGTAAGTTTATGTGTAAAAGTTACTTCCTCCGTCCTATTTCATTTGTGCTATTTTCATTTTTAGGTTGTCCCAAAATAAGTGTCTTCTTTCCTTTTTCGGAAAGAAATATGTGATCTACACAATTTCAATTTATCATACTCAAACTTCAACCATAACTTTTATTTTTTCAACTATTTCATTAATAATCGTGTCAAGTCAAACTAAGACACATAAAATGGGACGGAGGTAGATATTATTTACTCCGTACAAAATAAAAATTCTTTATAACCACACACTTAAAGATCCACAATACAATACTCCGTACAATTTATTCATAGGAGACCCCATCGATGATAGGCCTATTCGACACCACTCACACCATGGGCTGAAAAGACACCACTCACTTTATGGGCTGAAAATATACACTAATTGTATAAGCCCAATCTACACAATTTTGGCTAACCGATCCCGGCCCATCTATGTATATTTCACACGCCTATTTGCAGGATTAGAGTTGTATGGGAAGTGACGGTCAAGCGGTCAAGCCCATTTATATTCTAGAACACATTATGCGGTGGTAATAATTTTTCGAAGAAAATGAAATACAAACCTGATGATCATACGAAATTATAATAAAGCACGAAAAATTGCATTTATGTTATGTATTTGATAAGACATAATTTGACTTAGCATCTCATTCTCGGGTGATATTTGAAGTTGCACCACATTTTTAAAATGATTAATGCACGCATTTCACGAACCCAAAAATTGTGAATGGGTGAGTGAAAAGTCAAATGATTCTATAATAAATTAGAATGCACACATTAATTAATGATCTTGAAAATATGTTGCAAAATCAAATTTTCCTTTTTCTTAATCTAAAGTTTCGGCCACTGTTTTAATTAGAAATTAACTAACACTAATTTATATGATTGAATTGGGAATCTTGCAAAGTATGAATCGATAATGATTTTACTAAGAGCAATTGAGATATAATACGAAAAGAATTTAGTAGCTCGAAGCCTCGAATAGAAGTACAATAGTGCTTGATCGTGTATCTCTCCTCCTTTTCCAGAATGATAACTATCTACTTGGTAATTCTGTAAAGTCTTACATATACTCCGTATTATACTATCGTATTTAATTGAATTGATAACTTGCTGAGATAGTTGACTTATTGGGAAAATGTCATTTAGAAAATTAGAAGTTAAAAATAAAAAATATACGTAATACTACTCCGTATGTTATTTTAGATAGATAAATATACGTAAATACTAAATAATACTCCGTATGTTATTTTAGATAGTTAAATAAAATGTACTAATTACAAATAATATAATACTATCTTCCGTTCTATAATTCTTGCAACAGTTTGACTTTCATGTTTGTCAATGCACAACTTTGACTGTAATTATATTTAATTATGTATTAGAAAACATTATAAAAAGTTGATATTTTGGAAATTCACATTGATAAGAGTTCAATAACATTTTATACGTAATAATTTGATTATGTATATTAGTAGAAAATCATGGTCAAAGTAAGATATGTGAATAGTGTAAAAATCACAATGTTGCAAGAATTATAGAACGGAGGAAGTACGTTGTATCTAAAAACCTAATCTTAACTTCACTTTTTTCCCCATATTTAATTAAGTGATATTTGCTTATCTATCTGATGGAATATATGGACTCCGACCCCCCGGTCTGTCGACTATTGGGCCTAGACAGCGGCCCACACACGTTTAGAGGATTCTTATTATTGTACATTATTATTATTCAGGTGTTCTGGATTAGCTTTTTATACTATTAGTCCATTTATGTAACCGGGTCTGTCAGGCCCAGACCCGGATTTTCCCTATATATACATACCCCTTATAGGAGGCTTGTAAACCACAACCAATATTCATTCATTCTATACACTTTCTTTATTTCTTCTCCATTCTTGTTCAATCTCTCCTGTTTATACAATATGGGTATCGATTGTCCAACACTATCCTTCATCAACACCATGTAGCTCTAATGGTTATGTCTCTGATAACTTCTTAATGTGCCCCGTCAATACCTTGGAATGTTGATTTGAATAATGCTTCTCCATGTGTTCCATCAATACCTACACTTAATTATATACTCCGTACTTCGTAAATTTACGTTTTTATTTTGGTCAACATTGACCAATTTTTTCGGCGTCGACCGGGTTGACCTTCCAGGTTTGAGTTGATCTATTACCCAGTCATTTGAAGTTTTGAATGGGTCACTTTCTAATCTAGTTTGAACAACACAGATTAAAAGAAAGTTGTGTTAACTGAAAAAAATAGTGTCTAGGTACATTTATTTGAGACTAAGAGTGCAACATGTCGACATAAGTTATAAAATGAATTGAATGCCTATATTCGTAAGTTATACTCCGTATTTGAAAAATCAAACAAAAAGTAAAAATAATACACCCTCCGTTCTTTAATAATTGCCTTTTATTCCATTTTGGGGCACTTTTTATCAGTTGTCTCTTTTTTCTTTTTTTGATAAATTTTTTCAATCAAAATATATTTATACCCCCATTTTTATTACTCTTACCCCTTTCATTTAAAGACAAATCGATTACTACACCTTTTACTCATAAAATATAGAAATAGAAATTAAAATCATACGGAGGATCATATCATCTACATTCATGAAGACAGGATAGAATTACTGAACCATCAATTCCGTAGTTTCCCGCATAGGGGTTGACCATTACAATTGCACGGCCAACACCATGAGACAAAATCTAACCAGCAATACAATTACAAATTTACAATGAGCATGTAAGATTAATGAGATTAATGAGCATATGGTAGATTTTTCTCGCTAATAAGATTAATGAGAATGTAACTAATAAGGGAAGGATATGGTAGATTTTTCTCGCTAATAAAATTAATGAGCATGTAACTAATGTCCATGTTAGTTCGTGTTTGAATTTCTTTTTGGAGACCTTATAAATCTTTTAATGTAGTTTCTGAATATTTAAATATATTTACTGAAAATAATCTTATAATTGAGAGCGATCCATTAATTTTATGACCAACCAAACACCGTAAACAGAAATGAGAACTTTATTGTGGGATGGATGGAATAATTCTTTTACAGAGTATATTAATTTAATGTACTTATTTAACATATGTGCTTAATATGTTAACCTTATTACTCCACATGTTCACTAATAAGCATACTCATCATTAAAATTATTTTTCCTTAACCGCAATCCCCAAGTATTTCATTATCCTATATATCGTACTGTATATAATATGATACATAAATTCCTAGCTCATTTACATATTTACAGAACACAGGAACCGTTTTAAATAGATGAGCCTAATAACTTATGGGGTTTTGACCTGGATATTAGTAATAAAAGGCCAATAGACAAAAAACTCACCCTTTTTTAAAAAATCCAGAAAAGTGACTAATTATTAATAAACATATTTATCTATCTTCTACGTGAATCGGTGATATGCTACAGTGTTACAGTGAAACACTATTAGTGACATGAGATAAAAGTAACATCCACCACCACCCCCACCACCTCTGACCGATGACCGCCGCCGGCTATAGTGACAACGACATAGTGACGCCGCCGGCTATAGTGACAACGACATAGTGACGCCGCCGGCTATAGTGACAACGACATAGTGACGCCGCCAAAGTGACGCCGCCAAAGTGACGACGCCAAAGTGACGCCGCGAAAGAGACGCCGCCACAGTGACGCCGCCATAGTGACGTGCTGCCTACCGTCAAAATGACGCCGCCGGCCGCCGCAGTTACATCTGCACACCAAGTATTCCGACCACAACTATTCCGGCCACCGCCCATCATCACCATCAGATGCCCCACAACCAGAAAATCCCCATCCCAAAGCCCCACCACCTGAAAACCCCCATCCCGAAGCCCCACCACCGGAAAACCCCCATCCCAAAGCCCCACCGCCGGAAAACCCTCATCCCAAAGTCCCAGAACCGGAAAGCCCACATCCCCTGCCTCGCTGCCACCTCTAGCCACAACAATCCAACAGATCTGGACGAACACGAGCTCAAGTACTCGATGGATCTGGCCGAAACACGAGCTCTATCTCATCACCGCCTTGCGTCGGGGCCTCTCTCTCTCGCACAGACAATGTTCACAGAAGGGGACGAAGATGGTGATCGAAGCAGAACTTGGCCGATGGCGATGGGATGTGCTACCGCAGGGCGCCGACGACAGGATGAGTGCTAGCAGGGCGAGCAACGGCGGTGACTCGTCTGCCATGGAAATAGCGTTCGACCAAAGCAACGTTGAAGATGTGGAATGATGACTGCGTGTGATAACCATGGGGGGCCAAAGTAGAGATATTAATTAGGGTATGTAGTCCGTTTAATGTGCAATAGTAATGTAAGTGAAATGTTTCGGCGGAAGGAAGGGGAGCCGGATCACTTTTTGGGGAAAACAAAAACTGGTCATATTTTTGAAATTAGAAACTTAGGGAGTAAATACTGGTCATATTTATAAACTTAGGGCTCAGTTCTTCATAAGTATGCTGATGACAAAAACTGGTATGCTGATGACAAAAACTGAGCTTAAATATGTTCTTAAATATGTTACTTAGGGTAAAATGTCATCAGCATACTTATGAAGAACTGAGCTTTATTCTTAAAGATGTTCTTCATTTTTAAATGTCATCAGCATACTTATGAAGAACTGAGCTTTACTTTTTATCAGTTTTTGTTTTTTTGATAAACAAAAACTGGTCATATTTATAAACTTAGGGCTCGTTTGGTAGTTTACACGTTAAATCTATGCACGCGAAGTGATTGCATGCAAAGTATAGAGAAACAATCATTTTGCATGTAAAATAGATTACATTGTTTGGTTAGATGTGTACTTTATTTTTAAATTGCACGCAAAGTCGTCACAGTGCTTCATAAAAGGCATGCAAAGTATTTTACCACCCTCCCTCCACATAAAATACTTTACATGGTACAATGCGAAATGTTTTAAAAAAATGTCCTACAGTTTACATTAAATAATCAAACCAAACAGTGTAAACATTTTACATCCTTACACTTCGCCTGCAAAGTAATTACTTTACATCCTACCAAACGCCCCCATAATGTCTGGCGCAACAGAGCAACAGCATCAATGGTAGAAAATAAGAAATATGAAGGGAAAGAAAAAAAGATCTAAACCTTAGCTTAACCAATCTAGTGGTGATAAATGCATATGTAGAATCTCTACCACTCCAGCATCTGTCTACTTCAAAAAATACATGGCTACTGATACTGCTGCAACAGATTTTAAGACAAGGCCGCCTCCGTCGATAAAGCCGCTAGCTGTAAAATACAAGATTGATTATAACTCAAATAACTCTCTACAGGTCACTTGTAAATCAATGATCAAGAGGATTGCATATTTATAATTAACACGAGATGATTGATATCCTCCAGAGGGATGGGCAATATTAATACTTGGGGTCACACATAAAATATTAAAATATAAACTTCACATAAAAAGTAGTCCATATTCCATATACTAAATGAAGAGTTTGGAGGAAATTAATTATCACATGTCCATATGTATGACTAAAAGATGGTTTCTTTATGAAGATCGAAGTAAGACCCAGTTTTCCTACTTTGATCAAGTGTTGGCCTAATTTTATGTTGTGGTGGCATCTATTATTTGTAATTAATGGATTGCAAGATGTTTATAGCTAAATTGTCATATATCAGGAAAGTGTATCTTTTAGCAAACCAACATTATTAAATAGAAAATTATGGTTTGAGGGTAAAAATCCATTTACTTGGTCTAACATCTTCAGCTAAATATTAAATAGCAAACGGATACTAAATTGCAGTCATTGACCTTTAAGAATAAAGCTCAGTTCTTCATAAGTATGCTGATGACATTTTACCCTAAGTAAGCCAATCTTTCAAACCCAGTGACCAAAAGAACATCTTTCATTACTTACAAATGAATCATAGAAGTAAATGAATAAATACTCTCTCCCTCCCTCAAAAGTAGGCTATCTTTGGAGTAATCTATTTTTGTGAAAGTTATAAACTTCATGCTTTTATGAGACTAGCATTAACAAACAACATTTTCATATTGTTTTCATATTATAAATAATTTTGTACAAATATATGATTCATCAAAGTTAAACACCATTGACCACATAGTCAAACATGACTAAGTAAAAAGGAAAACCTCACCTTTGTTGCTATTGTTATGAGTTAGGCTGGGTGTTGCAGTTGGAGGACTAGATGATTTATTTGTCATGTTACAATCCAATCCAAGTGCGCCTGAATGCGTACCATAAAGCAGTCATTAAAGTTTATTTGAATGAGAGAATAGCAGAAAGGTCAGTTTTAAAGCCTATTTAGTATCTACTGTTTCTCATCCATAAAAGGATTTGAGCTAGAGTATTAAACCAATATGTAAAACTCTATCTACTACTAGTCCTAAACTTATCTTTTAGCATGAAACCCCAAACCATAATATGATTTCGCCCATTTATGAAAAAGCATTATGAACATATTTTCACGTAGACAGAAGGAGCCTTACATTCTTTGAAGCAAGGGAAACCTGTGATATTGAGAAGGTTTGAGTAACCCTTGCTGCATTCACAAGTGTAGGTTAGTGCAGAAGTCTGCATGCATGATCCCCCACCGCACTCGGCCCAATAGCAAGCTAGAAAATACCAAAGGTCCACAACGCACAAATTTGAAGAGAACAACTAAAAAAGAACTTTCATAATTTTACGAATTATGTAACATTAGCATAAAAGGGGGAAATTGTAGTTACGCTCGAAGAAAGATGTACGATTGGCTCTTTTATCTGGTGCAGCAGGGGCAGGAGCATCTTCCCCGCACGAAAAGTTTATAGAACCTAAAAGAAATGAAATCCCACAATACTGCGTAATGAAAAACATTGACCTTTAATAAGAGGAAGAAAAACTAGCAATACTTTCACTGAGAAGTCACGGGTTCATTTGGTTTATGTTTCGAAATTATCTGCTTTTGTTCTCAAATATATATAATAAAAATGCTTTGCAGTTTGTTTTAAATTCATGATTAATTATGAGAATATATATGTTGTTGTATGATAATACATATTTTTAAATAAAATTTCTAAACGTTTCATAAAATTGTTCAAAAGATGATCCCGACACTTCTTAAAATTCTGCTTTTTAAGTTATGCTTTTATTATCTGAACTTTTTAAGTTAAACTACTGTTGCACATTTTATATCTCATCTTTATAAAAAACTTAAAACTGAAAAGAGAACCAAACTTAGTACTGAAGTTATACTGTTTCACATTTTATATCTCATCTTTATACATATGAGTCTAAAGTACATATGACAGAAAGCAAAGACAAGTCCAGGGGCGGAGAATGGGAGGGGTTAGAGGGGGCCTCTCCAAGAAAAAATTCTAATGTAATATATATGTATAAACATTTTTAATCTATTAAGAGTATGTTGATGTTTTACACTCCCCCCCTGCAGTGTAAAATCTTCAAGCCCAACCCCCCTAACAATACATTTCTGGCTCCGGCCCTGCCAGTCCTTATGGCCTAAAAGTGTGATCTGATTTGGATTTTTAAGATCCAGAATGGTCTGATGTAACAGGTGTAAATGTTTCTGAATGGTATATTTTAAATCTTTCGGGTTGGGTATGAATCTTTCTGGTGTGGTTCGGTCTGATCAGAATGTTTCTGAATATGACAACTTTTTTTTAATCTAATATGGTCTATGTTTCTGGTCTTGTGTGATCTGGATTTAGTAAAATTAAGTAATAATCCATAAAAAAAGGTGAAAGAGAACACCACCTATGTGAACTTACAGTTGGGGATAACACATGGCAGAAACTTGAAGGAATTGTCACTTTGAAGAAGAGTTTGTTTCCAGCCAGGATCACATTCACATTCATAACCTAAAATACTATTTCCCGATGCCTTGCAATTCCCTTTTCCACATCCCACTTTTTTGCACAGCTTATCTATAAATGCATACATGACAGGCAAACAAACATAGATTGCAGTAAAAAAGAAAATATTCCATCCATGAATATGAACACCAAACTCAATATCTGATATTAAAAATAGACCCCAAGGCCCAAACCAAAAGTATGAATGCATGAGATTATAAAAAAGGCAAAACATGATACATCAAAATGCTCATAAAGATTGCTCGGACCGTGGGAACCTCTCAAAAGGCTTCATACTAATGGAGCGAGGTGGACACTTACATTCAAAGCAACTCTACTTATTTTTCTAATGTGGGACAACAAAGATTTGGTAACGCTATACAACCCAAAATCTACCACAGTAACTATTGTTTATCTTGTTTTGTTTATTCGTTCATGTGTAGTAGGTATAAATATCATCCATCCTTTACATCTAATTCAAGAAAACTATGGCCAGTGATGTTGCTGCAATAACCTTCCAGAAAAATCCACCTCCCATGATGATTGAGCAAGCTGATTTTAATTGTAAGAACAAAATGTATCTAGTTAGTCCATTTGTATGACAATAGCAGTACACATTGAAAGAACAAATGAACAAATTAGTTCATTTCAACACAGCTGAACTTTACTGCATAATTAGAACTGTGAAATCTGATCAGCAATAGTGAAAGAATTCTCACCTTCATTACTATCAGATGAGCTTGGGGATGGAGGAGTGCTTGAGTTATTTGGCAAACCAAACCCCAGATTATTACAGTCCATTCCAAGTGCACCTAAATGTGTATGTCATTGACAGATCATAAACTGATTTTTTTTGGAGGAGATCATAAACTGATATTATTCATAAACAAATAAAACTGGAATATTAGGGTCTGTTTGGTAAAGTGTCTAGATTTTGTGTTCTATATTTCCATTTTCAAAGTTTTTTTCCCGTTTTGTTTGTGAACTCCTTAAATATATAGACATGTTTAATGGATACTTTCGAAACGATGAGATCATTTTTTATGTGTTCCATCAATGATTTAAAAACACTGCTTTTGTTTTCAGAAAGAGAGACAAAACACTATTGGCAACCATATTTTCTTGTTTATGTTTTAATAGCAACAAATATATAACTAAAGCAAAATAATGGTCAAAATTTAATCTTTAATACGTAATGACGATAATGGTATTTTCGCAGTGACTATATCAATTGTGGTGATGTCCAATTCTACATGCAGCAACCGTGGTGGTATTTTCACACTGCCTGGAATGACTGTGCCGATGTTTTTTCCTATAATCTCTATCTTAGTAATGTTATAGGAAACAACCCACACATTTAAACCACAGAAAACATGAGTTATCAAACGACACCTTATTTTCATTCATAAAGGAATGTTGAGTGGTCTTACAAGCTCTGACGCACGGGAGAGCAGTGGAATTGAGCAGATTGAAGTATCCTTCATTGCATTCACAAGTATAGGTTAATGAAAGTGTAGAGTTTCTTTTGCACTTCCCCCCTCCACAGTCCGCCCAGTTGCAAGCTACACGACCCAGTGTCACAAGTCACAACATTAAAGGGTATGTCTTATAAGCAAAAATGTTTCACAATTTTATAAATGCAGTACAAGATTAATGAAAAGTCATTTGTATTTACGATCAGAGATTGAACTAATTGAACGATCGGCTCTTTTAGCAGGTGCAGGAGCAGGTGCTTCTCCCTCTCCACAAGAGTAATTAACAGAACCTTAATAAAAAAGAAATCAATGGTCAGTAATTCAGTATAGACTGTACAATAAAACCATAGGTAGGGGAGCATAAAGAAAAAATGGACTAAAAGGAAAAAACGAGGGGAAACAAAAGATTGATCTTATTTTCGATATTTGGTGGTATGCATTTTATTTCTTTCTCTGTTATACAAAGACATTCCTAAATGCATGTAAAATAATTAAAAACCAATTATATTCCGTCCTTTCCATTTTCAAAGTAAACCCAAACATCAGAACATAAACCATTTTTTCTTTCCTTAGCATTTTCCATGATAGGTATTACTGCACTTAAATTATCTCTACTTTAGTCTTTGATTTAATATATCAATTTTCTCATCAAATGAAAACTACTGGCAGTTTCATAAAATTTTATGTTGATTCTAAATATGTAGATTTTAATTGTTGATACTAATTAAACTATTGGTACTTGGGGATTACAGAAAATAGCATACTAATTAAACTTGAAGAAAGTACCATTTAGAGATACTAATCAACCTATTGGGCAGAGATAGCAAACTTGTATGACACAAAATAGCACTTACAGTTGGGGATTACACAAGGCATAAACTTGAAGAAGGTATCGTTTTGAGATCGAGTTTGTTTCCATCCAGCTGCACATTCACATTCATAACCTAAAACGCTATTCGTTGATTCCTTGCATTTCCCTTTTCCACACAGTCCTCCTTTGTCACACACATTATCTACCAGTTATGCACCCAACCACGAAAAATAAAACCATTATAGTTACTGATATACTCCAAAATTCAAATATCATCGAGTTCACTCAATTGTACACAACAGTCAAGTATAAAAAACACAACTCACATAGGCTGGACATCATTGGACTGTGCTTTGAAGAAATTGAGCTTTTAGAATAAAACTTAAGAAATTGGTCCAGCCTAAAACTCAAAACGAGCATACAGATTTACAAGATTAGTCTGCTCTAATGAATGGTAAACACTTAAACTATAATAGTCAAAATTACTATACACATCAATATTTTGACTATTAAAGTACAAAGACACAAACTTGAATTTAAAATAGTAGACTACTCCTTTTAAAGAATCATATGCTTAAAAAAGATTCCAATCCACTAGTGAGTCTAACGCAAGAATCATAAAAACAAACTTTTAAGACCAATAAACGCAGAAATAACAACAAAGATTCCACCTTTTCAAAAACTGCAAATCAAAATCCCCCAACTGGTAGGACTAGAACGGCTAAAATCAGTTCATTGAACAAATACAGCAGATGATGAATACCCAAACTCCAAAGTGAAGCAAATAAGAAAATGAAGAAGCAGAGAAATGAAGGGAAGTTACCAAAAATGGAGGACAAGAGAGGTGGAAGAGCAATATCGCTGGTGGCGGGCCATGGAAGCAAAACAGCAAGGACTGTGAGAGCAAGGATGGAGTGAAAGTGTACAGAAGAAGCCATAGCTGATGAAGAATCGGTCAGTTGGTTAGATATGGAGGCGGAGTTGTTAATATGGAATTAATGAAGTATGAGAGTTTCAAAGGGAAGGTTCTTCCAGATATTGAAAGACGTGAGAGTGGTTGACGCGGTTCGGTTTTGGCAGTTGAGAATTTTTAAGTGCGTTTATACGTTTCGTGCCCACCCGGCAAATCAGAGGAGGAATACTCCCGGTTCACCGCGTCAACGCCCGCGTCTTTATTTTTTATGCTTTTCCCAATAGTCTGTTTTGGACTCTGTCCCAGACTCCGAGTCTCCCTTAGCATAAAAAATTGCAAGTCTACGGCTATGTTGTAAAAACGGGACCTGATAGTGACCCGGCCACATGACTGGGTCACGGGTCAACCCGGACCCGGTAGGTCAACCCGGTCAACGCTGGAAAATCGGTCAATGATTATACGTCTATATAATAATAGTAAACATATAATTATATATAAAATTATAATAAAAATTAGTTATTATTCATAATAATCAACTAACAATACTACGTATTAAGCATTTAATACACTCTTATAATATTTCAATGTATATTTTGATCTTATAAAAATATATAATGCTATTTTTATTTTCATTGTACATCTATATTATAATTTGGCATGATGTTCATTCTTAAATAAATATATAAGGGAAAACTGTCAAATAGGTCCTCGAACTTTCATAAAAAAGTCAATTAAGTCCTTTTATAGGGGACTCTGTCCGGCCGTCGCGATTTGGGGCGGTTCCCGGTGAAATTTTTTGATGAAATTTTTTGAGCATTTTATTCATCAAGTCTAGTTTACTCATACCAAATTTGAGCTAAAAATTCAATCGGGAACACATTCAAATTAATTCTTGAAGATAACTGCGCATTTTTGCGTTCTCGAATTAATTTGAATGCGTTGCCGATTGAATTTTTAGCTGAAATTTGGTATGAGTAAACTAGACTTGATGAGTAAGATGCTAAAAAAAATTCAACAAAAAATTTCACCGGGAACCGCCCCAAATCGCGACGGCCGGACAGAGTCTCCTACAGAAGGACTTAATTGACTTTTTTAAGAAAGTTCGAGGACCTATTTGACAGTTTTCCCAATATATAAATATATTACATAGTTTTTCTTTTTAAGGTATTGAAATTGCAATTTTATTGGTATAAAAATGCATTAAAAATAAAAAAGAAATTACTTTTTTTTGGTAAAAACACCCAAAAACTGGATTTTACCGGGTTTTTTCGGGTTTTTTGGGTCCGGGTCTTGACCGGGTTTTCCCGGGTCAGCCGAGTTTTTCCGGTTTTTGACCATTTCCGGGTTTTGAAAAAACCGAACCGGTTTTTTGTCCGGGTCACCGGGTTCCGGGTCAACCCGGCCGGGTCGGGTCGGTTTTTTAAACATAGGTCTACGGCTCTAAGTTGAATGGGATAAACCAAAAAAAGGTAGTATTAAACAATTAAGATTTTTTTGTTAACACCTAAACAACTTAGGATTTGCGACACTAATCTTTATCTCCAGAAAATCCACTTCAAACGATTTGAAAATGTAAATTCAAGTTATTTGAACAATCCGATCGGTTTCTACGGTCATTTATAAACAAGAATTCACTCATAATTATATGTATGAAGCTAATCCCACATTATTGCATGACGCGAGACAATAATGACTGTGCGATTACTCGAGCTAGCCATTATTGTTTAATTTTCTCAAATTGACCTACTTGATGACTTGACCTCAAAACCTACAACATGGGAAGCTTTTAAGTAACCAAAGTAGTCCGACTTCAATTACCCCCGTTTATCAAGAATTTATTTTTTATTATACTAGTCTCCATTGTTATGATGTACACGGGGCGGATATAGGAATGATGTCACGCTCCGGACCTACTGGACACGTTAACAACGCGCTGTACAGTATGAATAGTCAACCGCAGTCTAACGCATCCATACTATACAAGGTGTCTTGAATACCATTCACACATAGTAGATCCATAAACAAATATAATGTAAAATATTCAATTAAAGCAGCGGAAGTAATATAACAAGTGTTTAAGCCACACTTGGCAAACTTGGGCATACAAGCCCCCAAATAATTATTCACAAAATAATATCCATGAGCATTATTCATGATATAATGTTTTTAAAACAGGAACGGAAGAAGCACGAACCAAGTCTTCTTCACTCGATCTTCCCGAAGCAACGACGGTGGTAGCCAACCTTCAAGTTCTGCCTGAAACTGTGAGGTGGCCTCCCTCGTGAAGGGGAAGTCAGTACTTTGAAGCATTTGAAAAGTACAATGACAACTACACTATATATAATCAATGTTTCAATTCCTAAGACCTTCAATCTAGGGTGATATTATATGGGAAAGTTCCCAAAATGGGACTAAAAAAGTTTGAAAATTCCAAAATAGGACTGTCATGTTTTTATTCCCCAAATAGGACTAATTACTGCCAAATTTGGAAAATACTACCATGTTTGAAGTCTGATACTGCCAAAACATGACAGTAATTAGTCCTATTTTGGGATAAAAAAATGGAAGTCCTATTTTGGAATTTCCAAACTTTTTTAGTCCCATTTTGGGTAATATCTCATATTATATTATGACTGGACTGCAGGGTGAAAGGCGGGCGGTGTTCGTCGTCTGTAGATTTTGGGCAGCTCCTTTTGAGTGGCGGTTTCCGGCGATTTTGACTCCTATCGATTCACCGACTCTTCTAACTTAATTACCACCACTTTATATCAATATTCTACACTTTTAGACGTGTAGAAATTCATGTATGATTTACTATATGACTTTGTAAAAATCATACAACATAATACTAGTTAAAGAGTACACTTGAGTTCTCACCTCAAACTTAGCTCCTTTCCTCTTGGGTTTTCTTCCTCCAAGCTTCCTCCAACAATGGTGTTTATGAGAGCTTTTTCCCTGAGCTCCTTACTCCTAAGGTTGGCCGAGAGAGTGCAAGAGAGATAGAGGAAAGATGCCTTCCCAATCAACACAAAATAATTGTGTGAGATAGGACACAGGCATGAGCTTTTGTCTCAAAGGAGACCCCCCCCCCCCCCCCCCCCCCCCGCACGTACTGTCACGCCCCGACCTAACCGGACACGTCAACAATCCGCCGTACAGTACGAATAGTCAACCGCAGTCCAACACATCCATACTATATAAGGCGTCTGGAATATCATTCACACATAGTACATCCATAAACAAACATAATGTAAAATATTCATTCAAAGCAGCGGAAACATTCAATACAAGTGTTCATGCCACACCTTGGCAAACATGGGCATACAAGCCCCCCAAATAAATATTTAAAAATAATATCCATGAGCATTAATTTAAATAGTTTGTAAAAATGGAAACGGAGGAAGCACGAACCACGTCTTCACTCCTTGGATCCTCCCGAAAGCAACGGCGATAGTAGCAACCTTCAAGTTCTACCTGAAACTGTGAGGTGGCCTCCCCCGTGAAGGGGAGGTCAGTACTTGGAAGCATTTGACAAGTACAATGACAACTATACTAAGTATAATCAAAGTTTCAATTTCCAAGACCCTCAATCTAGGATATTGTTATTTTATAATTAACTCACGTTCCTTCATGCTAGAGCTCGGCTCATAGTCATACTAATTTGTGCTAGAGCTCGGCTCATAGTCACACTACATTTTGCTAGAGCTCGGCTCATAGTCATACTACATTTTGCTAGAGCTCGGCTCATAGTCATACTACATTTTGCTAGAGCTCGGCTCATAGTCATACTAATTTGCTAGAGCTCGGCTCATAGTCATACTACCACGTGCTAGAGCTCGGCTCATAGTCACGTCATCTAATCCTAAACAATTTCTTAGTCTAGGCTCCATCCATTTTGAGTAACCCTTAAGGCCTACTCCTAATGTAACTTGGGTTCAAAAGTTCACCTTAAAAATATCCTTTAAGGTTACTTAGCTCCAATATCTTGGGATTAGCCCCAAAGACTATTGAACTAACATTTCCGACTAGTAATTCTATACTAGTCGTTTAATCTTAATATAACCAATGCAAATTCATAATAGTTCGTATATTTCAATTTAATTCCACATTCAAGTATTGTTTGGCTCTAATATCAAAATATCACTTTAATCCCTCCATGACTTCTTCACATGAGGTAAAAGTATATTTATCACAATGAACACTCATGATTAATACAACTATCATGCCATTTTATTCATAACACATAATCATACACAATTTATTCATATATTTGTATATTATGCCTTTTCACTTATAAACAATATAAATTTCATTTAGGCATCTTTTATCATTAATAAACCATGCCAAACACATTTAATTCATTTAGGTAATCTCATGAAATTAACCCAATAAATATAAGCAATATAGTTAGTCATCCTCACCTTAAGTGAGCTTAAGCGCGTTCTACGCTTCCCGGTCGAACTTTGACTAATTCCGGCGAACTTTGACCAACTCCGGCGAACTTTGACCAACTCCGGCGAAACTACGGCGAAGCTCAAAAATACTTTAATCAAGTTTCTAACAAGGTTTTTAACATCATAAAACCTTAATCAATACAAATAACCTCTAAAAGGTTATTTTCCGGTGAACTTGTCGGTTTGGCTTCTAAGTCCGTTCTTGGACTTAGAACTACCCTCCAACCTATTATTCCACACTTAAATCATATAGAAGAATCCTCAAAGTTCTTCCTATGATATATATCTCATATGATAGAAGAAAAATAAAGGAAAAGTTAATATAAGGTCATTACCTTAATCCTTCTCATTTTTCCTAACTTTTTCTCCCTTTAATCTTCCCCCTTGGACCTCTATTGTTTGAGCTCTCTTCAAGGATGGAAAAGGAGGATGGAGGTTTTCTTTTGTATTGTTTGGTTTTGTGCTGGCCGAGAGAAGAATGGGGGAGAGAGTGGGTGAGGTTTCCTTTTTGGCATCTTTGCCAAATGAGTGAGAATGGGGCCCTTGGGATGTCAAGGTTGTCTCTCCCATCTCCTCAAGGTTTTCAGCCCATGTTTGACATAGATCAGCCCCCCTTTTGTTGTCAAATTCGTGGGTTGGCCCCCATCCATGTGGGAGGTCAACCCTTTTTGTTCAGAAGTGTACAATTTGTCCCGAAAGTTGTATTTTTTCGGACTGTTTTAAATATATTTTATTTTATCGGGTTAAATAAAATATATTATGCGTTCTCAATCATTATGACACTTATAATGAATATATATTTCCCAACTTTAATTTATAAGCCCCGAA